TATCCAGCTCTTATTGATATAATACATCTAAAACTTCACATTGCCACATGCCAAAATTATTAGAGCCTTTGAATCTATCAACCTCTAACCTCATATTAGCAACCGTATATAGATTTAAATGAAGATGAAGATGAAGTTAACAACTTCACCTTAACTGTTTCCTCTGTCTCTGGCCATCAAATCCACTCACAATCAACACCCAAGTCAGAACCAAAGTTCTAATACCAATTTGTTGTGGAGAAGGTGAAGGAAATTTTAAAAGATTGAGTTTCATTAAGCTACAGAGGTGAGATTACATTAAATATCTAGGCAACGGGAAGCAAAGGTTGAATCTTTGAGCTTAAACAAAAGATAGGTGACATTCTTGAGTTGATCATCTTTTAGGAAAGACCTTATTTGGTTCCCCAAGAAATCACCAAGAGAGGTGACCTCTAATTTCTCCTCATTAATAAGGGAGGAATGTAAGATGCAATCTAGCTTTCTTTAAGTCAGGTGTATCAGATCTATTTAAGAAGAGTCCTATTTATTCACGCGACTCTCACATTTCTCTCAACTTCTATCTATTTTGTGTGAGCTACTACTATTTTGTCTTAGCTAGTCCATCATCAATCCCCTCAAGGTGTATCTCAATAAATCCCCCGAATCAGCATATTTCATTGGTTTAAATTTCATAAGACTTTCTAAACTTGCTTCTTACTTCCGCTTTGTTTTAGATGTTGTACTATTGGCTTTGGTTAAAAGTTTATCTAGAGGCATTCTCTCAGCCTCCTACCAAGCCAAAAATCTGGTCAATTTTATTTTTCTCTATGGAGCAAATTGGGCGGTTACTGGAGATTTGTATGCAAAATGGCTTGAACTCGGACCATTATCTGCTCCCATGTCTACTACAGGCTTGGATAAATTCATCACAAGGTGCAGGCAAAAATGCAATCCTACTAGACATTCCTAGAAGAACTAAGAATTTGGAAGGTAATATGAAGATTGGGTTTCACACTTTGCTGGGTATGCTTCTGCAGCACCTACTAAAACCAAAGCAATGTTGGAGTTACTTTACACTAAAGTGACCAAATTCTCAAGTGCACCGAGCAGAGTTGGGATGAGCTAAATTTGAAATCCCAGTCTCTTTCCTCTCATTCATCTATATCCTTCAATGTTGCCTTTGTGAGAAGCCCCTTGTGTGGACTCGACTGGGTTACCAAGGTGCTTGACTCAACTAGGCTGATTAGT